GTACGAAGGGGTCCTGCCTGGCTGCTGCGGCGTCCCGGTCGGCGGCGGGTACCCGGCTGGCCATGTACTGGCTGATCCAGTCCCTGGTCTCGGCGGTGGGGTCCGATGCCTCGCCGATGTCAATATCCTCGGACGCTCGCAGAATTGCGTTGACCCGGTGTTCCCATTCGCTGGTCTTGCACCTGGGGATTAATTTCTTGGTTACTGCGGCGAGTTTCTGCCGGAAGGCCGCCTGGCTGAAAATGTTCTTTACCTCGCCCAGCACCACGTTGCCCAGCTCCGTCTCCATGACGAAGGTGTTGTCCTCTCCCAGGTACCGGAGGATCCGGTAGACCCTGACGCCGAACAGGTTGCTCAGGTTTTTGAGTACCCCGGGCGGCTCGGGCGGCTCTGCGCTGTCTGTTTTTTTCCCTGCGCTCAGGGTTTCCTCAAGCAGGTGCTGCTGGTCGTCGTCCTCCTGCTGGTCCCGTATCTTGTTGATGGTGTAGATAAAGTAATCGTCGCGCTTGATTTCCAGCCCGTGCCGGGTCCGCCACGCCACCAGCAGGTCGGCGACCTCCTGGTCGTCCCACCCGTACTCGATGGCAATGCTGGCCATGGAGTAGTCGTACTCCGATGCGGATTTGCCCTTCATGTCCTGGCGGTGCATTTCCCAGGACCGCTTGAAGCGGGCGCTCATTTCCAGCAGCATCGACAGCTTGTCCTCGGGGGGCATAGCCCCGCTCTTGATGACGACCCCTGAGGGGTTCTGTGTCTGGCTGGCGCCCGTTTTCCTTCCGGAACCCTTCCCGGATGCTCCTTTTTCGGATGCTTTCTTTCGGGCCGGCGGGGTCGGCGCCAGGGTTGCCGCCTCCGGGTTGGTTTCCAGGTATCTGCTGACCGTTTGTTCGATTTCCTCCAGGGTGTACCTGGGTCCGTCCATGTGGGATATGGATACGGGCTTCGGCGGGTCGGTCTTGTAGTTCAGGCTGCCTGGCAGCCTCATGACCCGGGCCAGGTCGTGGGTGGCGTCCATGGTCCATTCGTGGCGCTTCCAGCGGTGCATGATTATCCGCTGCCAGTTGTGGGACAGCTCCGCCGCCTGGTCGCGTTCGTCGTCGCTGGCGAATACCCATGGCTCGGTCAGCAGCCAGTAGGCCTGCAGGCCGTTGCCGCTGCTGATGAGCATTGTGGGCATCAGGGGGAGCTGGTCCAGCTCGTCCATGACCTCTGCCAGGTCTTCGGGCAGGCCATCCTTCTGGTGGACCGCCGGGTCGTCGCTCTTCAGGTCGATGTCGGCCCACAGGCCGGGTATCGCCGCGGCGCTCTTGTTGCCCACACGGCGGTGGGCCCTTACCTGGAAGGATTCTGACGCCATGCTCATGCCGGCATAGGCGTCGTATCCGGGGTGTTCGGCGATGGTCTTTTCCATGTTTCTGAAGACCCTGAACCACCTGGATAGCTTTATTTCTTTCTCATCGCCCCGGGCGCGTTTGAATACCCAGATGAGTATTTTCCCCCCATCAGGGGCCCTGTTTCCCCAGAGCGATTCCAGGAATGTTGTTGATTCGTGGCAAGCCTCCGTGAACCCGGAGGCACTTATGTTCACATCCAGCATGATGCCATTTTTACCATCGTCGGCCCCTTCGGCTTTTGTGGAGCACTGCCGTTATAAGATCCGATTGCCGTGTCTGCGGCAGAAGCATCCGAGCGCTTCCACCTTGCGCGTGAGGTCCCGGCAGGTCATGCCGCGACCGTGATCGTCCCTTTGATTTCCCTGCTTTGGACCAACGCCGTAGGGCCGGCGGGCCTGGCGGTCTCTGTTGGGTGGCATGATTAAGAACGCTGCTGGAGCAGCCGTCAATGTTATTCCCGCAGACCTGGATATTGGCTGTGCCTATCCCGCCAGCGAGACTGCCGCAACCTTTGATTTCACCGTGGAAGTCCTGGACCGGCGGGTTGTGATGTCCTGTCGAACCGGTCTTCCCTGACGGCGTCCGTTCCCACTCGGGCTAGCCTTTGAGCGGGGATTCCCTGGACTACACGCCCCGGCGTGATCCGGTGGGGGATTTCTCCATCGTCCGCTGATCGACGCCGGTCGGGTGCGGTTTTTCAGGGCCTGGCCCCTGCAGATTATCGCCCAGGACTTCCCCGGGGCTGGCCTGGCGTTTGGCTTCGGACCAGGGGGCCTTTCTAACACTGCCCCGGATTGCCAGGGGCCGGGGCTACTTGATGCCCTCGTGCGTGGACGTCTCCGCCCTGGGGCCCTGTTTTCACACGTCCGCCGGACGCTTTGCCTGTGGGGGGACTGTGCATTTGACCTGGCTCTTTCCTGCAGTCGGTTGAGGACCCGGGCGGCGTCCAGGATGTCCTTGTAGCGCAGCTCGGAGGCTTCCATTACGGTTCTGGGGCGTTCGGGCCCTGGGCATAGCGTACTTCCTGGTACCAGGCTTCGAAGTGGGGATGGCCCCCGTCTGGACCCAGCACGTTCAGTTCGGTCAGGTATTTTTCTAAAAGTTCCTGCTCTTCACCGGTCATGGTGTCCTCCCGGTCCTGCCCCCTGGTTCCTCTGGTTAACCTTCCCGTTCCTGCCCGTACCTGTGGGTTTGCTCAGGTTGTCGGGTGGCATATTTCTCGCAGCACCACTGGTTCCAGCTCCAGAGTTTCTGGGGTTCAGCTGCAGGAAGGCACACTGGATCGTCAGGTCTCCGATCCTTGTCGGCATATGGTCTTCTCCGAATCCCACAATGCTGGAGGTCTCGGTGCCGCCGATCCTAACTATAGTTTGACCTATTTGCATCGGCACCCGCGACCCGTCCGGGGCTTGTATGGTTCCGGGTTGTTTTCACCGGCACTTTGAGCCTTTCCAGGAGGTCCCGCGGCAGGATGGTAAAACGGGCTTTAGGATCGACGGGCAGTTCCAGTTCCTCGAACTCTGTCCCCTGAGGATTGCCTACCTGGATGCTGATGATGGGATTTCCCTGGGAGTCAATCGCTTTTGCCATGGTGTATTCCCCCAATCTTAGGATCTCTCCTGGTAGTACCTGGCCGCAGTCTATTCGTTCACTCCGAGCATGGCGGCAACCTCGTGGGCAGTCAGCGTCGTTGCCATTTCTTCTATGGTACTTATCCGGCCCTTCCCCGGAGCGAACTCGTAATTTGCCGCCTTCGGCGGGCCGGCGCTGCTCCCCGGCATAGGTTCCGCCTTCAGGGTAAGGGTCTGCCTGCCGTTGGGCTGGCCTTCCAGGGCCATGGTTATCTCCAGGGGTTGTTGGGACCGGTGGATCACGGCCCTGGCGGTGTTGCCGCGGATTCGCCAGCCCCGGTTCGGCCTGTTGTTCCCGACTTGGCTCATGGTTTCATTTCCGGCTGACCGTCTTGGTAGAGGCAACGCCCAGGGTTAACCTTCCTGTTCCTGGTAGTACTTGGTCACGGCGCCTCGTTCTGCGGCTTGGCACTCCGTGTACCTGGCCGGCATGCGTGAGCTCTTCCACCTGCCCGAGGTTATCAGGGCTAGGGTCTCGGTACCGTTAACTCTGTTTCTGGAGTAGGTTATGGGTTTTCGAAAGCCATTATCCCAGAAGCACAGGAACACCCTCTGGCCTACTCAAGCCACCACTGGACGCCACCGTTCGGTGGATTGGGGCTAAGAGGGGGGTCTGTTTCTCTGGTGAGGCGTGGTCAGTGACTTTGAGTCCTGGATTGTGATGCTGGCGGAGTGGACCTTAACACTGTTCCGTTGATGTTTCTGTGGGAATTTGGGCTCTCCTGGTTGCATGGGTGAGGCGAACCCTTCTGCCCACCATGCCTTGCGGGCTATGCGCCTCAGCAGGTTCCGCCCTTATGGCCCGTAATGTTGCAGCGGCCCGGTTCTCCCGGCTTTGGGATCGGAGATAATGCCGAGACCCTCGTCTCGAAGCGTCTGCGCTTCTATTACCGCGAGGTATGGTTCTGGTCCCAGGGCGTGAACTTCAGCGGGTGTGGTCATCGAGAGCCTATGGACTGAGTTCTGTCCGTTGCGACTATCCTGCAGGTATGCGTTGCCGGATGGCCTGGTGCGTCCGATGTTGTTGTCAAAGATGTAGCCATTCTCGGGTATTCGCCTGGCGACGAGTTCGTCCCCGTGAATGGCAGGGGCGTTTTCTGGCAAGTTCTACACCCTGTTCGGGACATCGGCTGGTCCCAGGTTGATGATGTGTTCGCGGAATTTTGACTCAGGAAGCAGCCAGGCCGGCTGGGCTGATTCTTCCTCCTGCTCCTCTCCGTTTCGCTGGTCCTCGAAGGGCCAGGTAATATTGCCGTCGGATGCCACGTAGAGTTCGAGGTCCACTCCGTTCCGGTGCCACTCGGCGCAGATGCCCGCCGTCCCACATTGGGGCTATGTCCGGGACGGGGCTTTCCGGCAGCATGGTGGTCGAGAGCGCCACCAGCAGGTGGGATACGGCCTTGGTGCCTGGCGCCGTGGCGCCCTCCTGCCAGTCGTCCTGGTTCCATGGGAGTTCGAGAATTTTTTCGATGGTTGGCCTAGCCCATGGGAATCCGCCGGGGCTGGCGCTTTCCGCCGCAGTCGCCAATTGGTCCGGCGGGTGGTGCGACGTCAGGTTTGGCAGGAGGAGCATCGCCTCGAAGGTCCCCACCAGGGCTGTGGTCATTGATTTTTCTCTGGTCGTCATTTTCTCTCTCCTGGGCCCGTGCCGGCAGGTGTAGCTGGGGCTTTTCCCCTGCTGCAGATACCTGGCGCAGACAGTTTTCTCCGGCTCGCTACCGCCGCCGGCCTTATTTTCCGTCGTGCGGACGCGAAAAGAAAAGCGCCCCGTGGCGGGCTTTGCACAATGAATCGGGATCAAAACGAATAAAAATCTTTTCTGCACAACGAATCGCCCCAAATCAAAGCTCTCACGGAGCCCGAGGTCCAAATAGCACAAAGAGGCAAGCTCATGCTGCCATAAACGGCGTCTCGCTTGACCAAGCAAAACCAGGCACAATAACATCAGGCTAGGCAGAAGAACAGGAGCCAAAACATGATCACCAGAATGGAGAAAGTGGCCCAAGACGTGGTACTAGCGGCTGCCAGAAAGGCGGGCGCCGTGCCACAGCGCGCTCTCGACCAACAGACGTTCAAGGAGGCATTTCTAGCAACGTGGCCGATCCCCGACAGCGCACGTCCCATGAACGACGCTATCAACACCGCCGCCCAAGCAGCCAGCAATTGTACCGGGCAGGATTCGAATACTTGGGAAACCACACTGAACCAATTCTGGCGCCCGGCAGTGCGGGAAGTAGTCGACGAATACCTCAGCGCCGCCCGGCACAGCTTCCGTAAGGGCGAGTCCCTAGAGGGCCACGGGGCAACAAGCGCGGTAGGCAGGGCCGGAAGCTGACGCTTCCCGCTTCCTGACCGGCGCTGCACGCAGGAACGCATGACTCACTCCGGATACGCTAGACACAAAAGAGAGAGTTTCGCAATTTTCTAAAGTAATAGCTGGTGCTGCGTCCACCGCCAGGATTTCTTGCCAGAATTCCGCACTCGATCAGAGCGGCAATATCCCTGAGCGCAGTATCCTGGGAACACCTGGCGATTCTGGCCCACCGGGATGACGTCAACTCTCCCTCCAGACCGTCCAGCAGCAGGTTGAGCACCTTACGTTGTCTTTCGTTCATCGGATAGTGACCATGCATGCCCCAAAATCTGGCCCTGGTGACCACCGCCGACAGGATCCCCTCGGAACCGTTTATGGCACGGCCCAGACAGGCGAGAAACCACTCCAGCCAGGGGGAAACATCGAGTGTTCCCCTTTGTGTTGTCTCCAAAATCCGGTAATATTCGGACCGTTCAATTCGGATCTGCGATGCCATGCTGTAGAACCGATGAGGGCTTTCCTCCGCCCTGGACAACGCCATGTCAGCGATTGCCCGAGCGATTCTGCCGTTCCCGTCCTCGAAGGGGTGAATTGTTACGAACCAAAGGTGGGCCAGCCCCGCCCTAACCACCTGGTCGATTTCCGGTTGAGAGTTGAACCAGTCCAGAAAATGCTCGATCTCCTCGGCAAGACGGTCCGCACTCGGGGCCTCAAAGTGAACCCGCTCTCTTCCCATCGGCCCTGAAACGACTTGCATCGGACCGGAATGCTCATCCCGCCACTCCCCGGCGCGGATGCGCGTCAGGCCGCTGTATCCCGTGGGAAAGAGGGCGGCATGCCAACCCAGCAAGCGTTCCTCTGTTAGTGGCCGGTCGTAACTCTGCGTGGCATCCAAGAGCATGTCGACCATTCCATCAACATGCCGGTCGGACGGGACCAACCCTGCCACGTCCATGCCCAGGCGGCGGGCAACCGATGACCGCACCTGGGACGATGCCAGCACTTCCCCCTCGATGTCGCTGCTTTTGACAACCTCTTCGGTAAGGGCGCCCAGCATAGCTTCCTGCCGCAGGTCGAAACCTATGGATTCCATGTACCCCAAGGAGAAGCCCTTGTTTGAACCTGACTTCAGCCAACTCTTTGACGATTGTGTCCGAGTTCCATCGGAAGTTGGGCCACTCAGGCTGCTGATGTATGTATATTCTCCGCAACATATGCGTATATTATAGGACCTAATCTCCGCAAAAAGCAAAGGCTCCCGGCTATTTTGGTGGCGACCTGGTAGCCCGGGAGAGGGGCTTTTAGCTGAGCGCTGCAATCTGGGATAAGTTATGACAACCCATGTTAATGGAGCCACGATTAGTCAAGATTGGTGAAGCCGCCCGCCTGCTGGGAACCACGCCGGACACGCTGAGGAAGTGGGAGTCCACAGGCGAGCTTTTGCCACACAGAAAGACGAAAGGCGGAACCCGCTATTACTCGATGGAAGCGCTGCTGGGATTGAGGACAGACGACGTTCCCACTATCGGATATGCGCGGGTATCCAGCCACGACCAGAAGGCGGACCTGGAACGGCAACACGCCGCTTTGGAAGCGTATTGTGCTGCAAAAGGCTGGCGGAGCTACATCATCAAAGACCTCGGGTCTGGGATGAACTACCGGAAGAAAGGCTTGCAGGAGCTTCTGGACCTCATCCTGCGCCGGCGGATGCGCCGGTTGGTTCTGACCCATAAAGACCGCCTTCTGAGGTTCGGTGCGGAGTTGGTCTTCACCGCTATTCAGAATCTGATGAAATCTGACACTCCAGCTTTGCCGGAGCCCAGACTCCAGGGCCAGATTCGCTTGACGCTTCACAGGCCACTGCCGGCGTAGCCGGTCTTACACGGTCTCCACATCCTGTCGCCGGGAAGCTCCAACCCGGCCAGTTGCTGAGATTCAGAGCAGCGTTGCAATAGCGGTTGTTCAGAACTCCGCAACCGCCACACCACCACTCCCGCTCAGAAAGCGTGAGCTCTCCATTCCTCCAACCGCAGTGGGCGCACAGTTTCGACGACGCGAACCACCGGTCCGCTTTCACGTACTCGGCGCCATACCAGAGGCACTTGTACTCCAGCTTGGCCAGGAAGCCCGACATCCCAGCATCGGAGATTGCTCGAGCCAGACTGCGGTTCTTCACCATGCCGGCCACGTTCAGCGTCTCCACCACCACGCGGCCCGCCAACTTGGCTATCGCCGTCGTTGCCTTGTGATGATTGTCGTTCCGCACGTTGACCACACGAGCGTGAACTCGCCTCCGCTTGGCATACAGCCGCTCGCGCCGGTTGGAATGAACGCTCTTGCCGTGGACATTCCGGCTGCGTGCGATGGCCTTGTCCAGACGCCGCAATTTCTTCAATCCGCTGCTCAGAGCCTTGGGGTAACGAACTGTTGATGTGACATGCTATAATTAATATGTAATGGATGTTATTAGTAAGCGAATCAGTCTCACTGCCTGGGGGCGCCTCTACGGGTTTGACAAGGCGACCACGGCCCGGTTGCACAAGCAGGGCAGGTTGCCTCCTGAGCTCCAGGTCGAGACCCTGCCCACGGGGCGCCATTTCGTCATCGTCCCCCCGGACAACATGGGCCGCTGCGTGGTCTATGCCCGGGTTTCCTCTGCTGATCAGAGGGACGATCTGGACCGGCAGGTGGGCCGGGTTGTTGAGTGGGCCACCGGGCAGGGGCATCGTCCTGACGAGGTCGTCAAGGAAATCGGCTCGGGTCTTAACGGGAACCGGAGTAGGCTCCGCAGGCTGGTGGCCGACCCCCTGGTGAAAACCATAGTGGTGGAACACCGGGATCGTCTTTGTCGCTTTGGCTTTGAGTACCTTGAGGCTTCCCTGATGGGTCGGGGTGCCCGCATCCTGGTGATGGACGATGCCGAATTGGAGGATGACCTGGTGCGGGATGTCACCGAGGTGATGACGTCGTTGTGCGCTCGGCTGTACGGACGGCGTTCGGCCCGGCGTCGTGCGGAGCGGGCGCTGGCAGCTGCCGCGGGAGATGGTCCGTGAAGGCTACCTACCAGACCCGCATCAACGACTTTGCCGGGCTGGACCGCAGAAACGGTGATGCTCTGCTTTCCGCCTATGCCGAGCTGTACTGCCGGATTGAGCGCAAGCTCTTTGCCGAGGTTTCGGCGGGCCGCTCTGCAGCTTCAATGAAGGGGGAGTACCTGGGGCGCTACGGGATACCGGCCCGGATGTTCAACGGGGTGCGGGCGTCCCTGGAGGGGAAGATTTCCTCCGTTAAGGGGGCAATGGAACTCCGCAGGGATGAGCTGCAACGGCGCATTGCCCGGGCCCAGGGGCAGATTGCCCAGGCTGGAGACGGAGCCAGGCCGGACTGGCTGCACCAGAAGCGGCGGCGGCTGGGGAACCTGAAGGGGAAACTGGAGAAGCTGGAGTCGGACATTGAGTCCGGCCGGATCAGGCTCTGCTTCGGGTCCCGGCGGTTGTGGCGGAAGCAGTATGCCCTGGAAGCCAACGGCTATTCCAACCATGGGGAGTGGCTCAGGGACTGGCGGGACGCCCGCAGCGATGAGTTCTTCGTGCTGGGGAGCAGGGATGAGACGGCGGGCTGCCAGCTGTGTGTGGCCTCGGTTGATGATGACGGGTCATTGACGTTGCGCCTCAGGCTCCCTGACTGCCTGGCTGGAGAGCAGGGCAAGTACCTGGTCATTCCTGGCATCCGTTTCAAGTACGGCCATGAGCAGGTGCTGGCGGCCCTGGAGAGCAACGCAGAGTACGCCGGCTACCGGCGTGAGCATGGGGAGAAAGCGGCGCGGGCCACCAGTCTGGGTCAAGCCATCAGCTACCGGTTCAAGCGGGACGACAAGGGCTGGCGGGTGTTCGTCACCACTGACATGATGGACGTGCCAGTGGTAACGGACCAAAGGCGGGGCGCCATCGGCGTTGACCTGAACGCCGACCACCTGGCGGTATCGGAAACGGACGGTGATGGCAACTGGCTGAAGTCCTGGCGGGCGCCCCTGGTGACCTATGGCAAGTCCCAGCTCCAGGCGCAAGCCCTGATTGGTGATGCGGTGGCCAGCGTGGTGCAATACGCCCGGGATGCCGGCAAGCCCATCGTGCTTGAGAAACTGGACTTCCGGCAGAAGAGGGCAATCCTGGAGGGTGAGTCCCGCCGGTACAGCCGCATGCTGTCCAGTTTCAGCTACGGTAAGATAAAATCCTGCTTTCTGTCCCGGGGCATCAGGCAGGGAGTGGAGGTGCACCAGGTCAACCCGGCCTTTTCCAGCGTGATAGGCCGGGTGAAGTTCATGGAACGATACGGGCTCAGCGTCCATCAGGCAGCGGCCCTGGCGCTGGCCCGTCGTTTGCTCGGCTGTTCCGAGCGCATCCCCCGCCTGCGGGTAGCACCCGTAGGCAACGGCGTTCACGTCGCCTTCTCCGTACCTGCAAGGAAGCGGGTGAAGCACGTGTGGACCTACTGGGGTGCGGTTCTGGGGCAGTTGAGACCGGCGCTTGCAGCGCAGCACCGGCTGGGGAAGCGGCGACGCGGACCCAATCCGGTTCAGGCTGTCTCTTCGATGGCTTGAGCGGGGACCAGATCGGTGTTCCCGGGTGAGATTCCCGGGCGGAGCCGCCTTGCACTGTTGGAGCGGCGGCGCGGCTCGGACCGCGTCTTCAGGAAAGATTGGCGGCAGCTTTGTTACTAAAGTCATCCTTTCTTACAACGGCGCAACCAGTCTCAAGGCAACACCAAGGAGAGAGTTTTGCAATTTCCCGCGATCCACGCCCGAGGCGGCCAGGAAAGAGCCGGTGCCCTGGCGATTCTTCTTCCTGAAGCCGGGCTTGAGGGCCCGCAGTTCGGGATTTCGCCAGTTCTCATACGCCCGCCTGAAATCACGCGCCGCGCCCTGAGCCACGAACTTGCTCACCTCGGTGGCGTACTGCATCCCGAACTCAGGCTGATGCTTCAGGCCATTGAACTGTTTCTCCAGCTCCATTGGACTGGGCCAGAGTCCGTGCACCTAGGCACGGGCCGACCGGTGGGTGGCGACCATCAGGTTGAAGACGGCACGGGCAATGCCGACGGCGCGGGTGGCGTACCGGTCCTGCTTCACCGTCAGGCTGACCGGCACCTTGACGCCGGCTTTCAGCCAACCATCAGGACAGGTCGTACGCTGTTTAGTGCGAGTCTTGACCATGCGGACTATTCCTGCGCGATGCTGAGCGCTCTTCTGGCCCGGCTGGCGGCACTGCGCCGGCCGTAGAGCCTGGCGCAGAAGCACGTCATTATCTCGGTCATATCCCGCACCAGGTCAGCATCGACCTTGTTGTCTTCAATAACCAGCAGTCCCCCCCGCCCCGCGCCCGCAGGATGGCATCCACCATGCCCACGCCGAACCTCGCCAGCCGGTCCCGATGTTCAAACAATCGGCAGCCGTTGGCAACTCTCCGTTCTTTTACTAAATCTATATATCTTTTTGACAATAATAATTGTATAGTGTTCAAGTTATTAACAAATCTTAAAGATTATGGTTAATATTTCATGACGTACATAAGTAATATGTAGTAATTGGTTTGATTGCATCCGGATGCAATCCCTCCAACTGGAGCCAAACACGTGGTGCTCTAGATTTTCTTGGAAGGAGGTGACGATAAGAAGAGGCGGCTTATTGCCTGCCCTGATTGGAAGAACATGAAGCATAGGAGCTCGTCCGAGGGTTATTTCCTAGAGACGAAAACCGTCACTTTTTAATGCTGTTCTGCAACACAATATCATAGGGTGTCCGTATTCGGCATTGTCTACTCTGCTGAAGACGATTATCGTTTAGAACATTGTTTCTCAGACAGACTGATCGCGTCCAGGCATTCCTGTGTACCATTCCTTGGCGGTATCTCCACTCTAACAGTGACCACCGACTCGGCATAGCGCTCACACCAAGACGACCCTTTTGGCTTCGGGACCATGGATTTTGGAACCACCATTTGGGAGGATTAATAATGAGCAACTACAGGAAATGGAAACTCTGGCGTCTCTTCCTAGCCTCCGGCTTGATAAGTCTTATGTTCGTCGTAGCCTGTGGTACTGCCACGGAGACCGACGTGGAACCCGCCGCGCAGCCAAGCGCTCCCCAAGCAGCCAGTCAACAGGCCGCCGTACCTTCAGCACCATCGGCGGGGGCACAGCCGGGAGCGCAAGCGGCACAACAGCAGGCAGGATCGTCAACAGCACCCTCAAAGCCGGCGGCTGAACCCGCGAAACAAGTAGCCCCGACCCCAACAACCGTAGCCCAGGCCGCGCTGGCCCCGGTATCGGAATCAGTGGCCGGACCCAGGGAGGCCCCCAGCGTGGCCTCCTACTGGAAGCCGCCAACGGACTTCTACGGCGACCCGGTTTATGGGAGCACCCTCCGCATCAACTATGAGGACCCCCTGGAACACGCCAACGCCTGGGGCGCCCGGACGGGTGCGGCCATGCGGTACCGCGTCCCCACTCACGACAATCTGATTCAGGACAACCCTTATGATCCGTCGGCGCCCTTCATTCCTGGCTTGGCTTACGGCTGGACCGTGGACGACGACCTTAAGGGGGTAACCTTCTTTCTAAAGGACAACGTGCAATGGCAAAACGGTGAGCCATTCACCTGCGAGGACGCCCGTTTCAGCTACGAGACCATGATCACCGGGGAGGGCCTCACCGGCTCTTATATGAAGAACCGGCTGAGTGATGTAGATCTCAATGCCCTTGAATGCGTGGATAACTACACACTGAAGTTCAGGTTTATGGTTCCATCCGCTGTGCCTCTGCTGAACTTCGGGAAAATAGAGTCCATGATTTTCAATAAAGCGTGGTTCCAGGCTGGCGGCGAGAACGCCATGTTCCAGGACGCCGCAATAGGGACTGGACCATTCATTTGGGCCGAGGGCCAGTTAGTTGGCGTTGACGAGCAGCACTTTGACCGCAACCCCAACTATCACGTTGAGGGCCTGCCCTACGTGGATGAAGTGGTAGTATTCGGCATCCTGGACGAGTCCGCGCAACAGGCCGCCATGCTGGCCCACCAGACGGACTGGCACTGGGTGCGCAACTTCGGTCAATACGACCAGTACGTGAAACACGACCAGATACAAACGGTGATTCGGGCCACCCGCAGCAGCGAGAACCTGTGGATCAACACCCGAAATGCGCCATTGGACAACGTCCGGATCAGGCAGGCCATAGCCATGGGGTTCGACAAGGAAACGGGCATTAAGGTTACCCTGTCCGGCTATGGGTCGGTGGGCCTGGGCCTGATGCCCCCGGGCAGCCCCTGGGGCTTGTCTCAGGAGCAAGGTTGCAGCGTTCCCGGCTGGTGCCAACCCGACGACATTGAAGCCCAGCGTGCTGAAGCTATCCAAATGTTGAATGAAGAAGGCTTCGATTTCGACAGGACCTATGTGCTGACCGTGGAAAGCGACGCCCAGCGTGTCGCCCGTGCCACCTACATGCAAGAACAACTACGGCTGCTGGGAATCAAGACCGACTTCGACACCGTGGAGACTATTGCTTACCGCAAGTCACGGCAGGCCGGAGATTGGGGAGACTTTATGAGCTCCACCGGCGGCGTGGCCGGCGTGGACGATCCCTTCCTGGGACTGGGCAATAATCACCGGTGCGCCGGCCTCGCCAACTATCAGACCCCGGGCACCGACTGTGACACCGCTTCGGAAGGCCTGTTCGAAGAACTGAGCCGAACCACTGAGTTCGAAGACCGGAAGAGGTTGGGACACGAAATCCAACTCCATCTCATGGGCCAATACTGGAACTTCCCCGCCTTCTGGGAGCAGGAAGCGGCGGCTTTCTGGCCTGAGGTCCGCGGTTATGTCCACTTCCCTACCCCATCTGGCAGCCACTTGCGGTGGGCGCATATGTGGATAAACCCCGCCCACTACAACGACACCGGGTTCTCGGGGCAGACTGACGGCGCGCCCGGCGGCGAGTAAACACAACCCGCAACCAGTGCCCTATCTGAGCCACCCGACCTCAGCTCGGGTGGCTCAATCTTTTTGCGGGCCCGATGTGATTGCTCCGCGATTATGTCCGAAGTAAATTGCTCAGAGAAAATGTCCACCGGCATTGTGCTGGGTTGGTAATTGGGTGAACCGCCTGGACCGCCTGGGAGTCCGGTTGACCGGTGGCGTCAGGGAGTCGACGTACTTCCTGACCGTGTTCCTGGAAATACTCGGTTTCCTAGCGATGCCTCTGAGGGAGACTCCTTGCAGCCTGGCGTGGTGCACTGCCTCCCACAGGGCCTGCTTGCGCCGGGTTGCCGCTCCTGCTGGCGGAGTCTCGGCTTTCCGGTCATCTTCACCGGACTCTTGCTGAGGGACCGCCGCCGCCAAGGCCCCCAGTCGCTGCATTTACAATCTGCTGGGGCCGTGCCGGCTGAGGTTCCTGATCACCTGCGCCAGTTCCGGGGCTCTTGTCAGCCTGAAAGCCCATTTGTTGTTCTGTTGTATAGGTGTATTGGTGCATAGGAGCAACGGTGACCTGGTGCAATGGCAATTAACTACACAACCTGCACTAATCTATCGACCAGGGCGGGCTGGAGACGGGGGTCAGCCTCGTTCCTGCTTCTACCGCTGTTGCTCGCCGGGACGGGTCTTACCCAAGCGTCCACAGGCAGGGACCGTGTAGCTCACGGTCCGGGGCGACAGCGCCTCGATGGGCAGCTGTATTGCCGATAGTCCCCAGAAGCAAGGTGGGCTACTGTCACTCACTGACAAGTACGTCGATGGTTGTGTTAAGGGCAGTGGCGATACGGGACAAAGCCGCAGCCGACCCCGCCTTCCGTCCCGCGCTCGATTTCGGATAAATAGCTTACGGCCAGTTCGGTCTTCTCCGACAAGTACTGCAATGTCACGCCCTGGTGTTTCCTGTAGGCGGCCATGGGCCTTTCTCCGTTTATGATGGCCAGCGCCACCTGATGGGGGACCCGGACCCCGTCGTCGGCCTGCATGGCGGCCAGGGCGTCCTCCAACTCGCTGTTGCGCTCCAGCAGAGCGTCGTATTCCTGTCGGGTTATGGTGACGGTCTCCTGGTTAGTCATAAGCTTCCCTCCTGTGTCGGACTCTCAGTACCACCATCGCAGGGGTTTCGCCGCGCTTGATGTCGAAGATCACGCGATGGTTACCAACCCTCAGACGAAGATACCTGCTGGTGGCGAGCATGACCACCTGGTTGGCCAGGGACTCCGGGTCTGCGGCGTACTGCTCAATCCTGGCGATTATGCGCTGCCGGTCCGCAGGCGCGATGCGGCGCATGTCCCTTATCGACCTTGGCGACCACTGGATTGTCAGGCCCTGTTGCACCAAGGCATTTTCACAAATAGCGAAACACACGTCAAGGAGGTGGCGGGCTCCGCATCAACGGGCCAATCGGCCACGTCAGCAGCCACCACGCCGCCAGAATGACGAATATCAGGAAGGCAAGCAAGCCGGCAACGGATCCTTGTGGCCACAGGACTTGTGCGGTGCGGTAGAGGGTACTCCAAATGAGTAACAATGGTTACAGAGCCAACTGGTGTTGGCGCGGAGCCGTTGTCATCGGCTTGGTTCTCCCTTCGTCCGGGGCAGTTTCACCTTAGTGTGGCCATTTATGCTGGCCATTCACGCCAGATGGTACACTTTTCTGCCGCCGAAGATCATGGTCCAAGCGCCTGCCAGCAGAAAGTATCAAGTGTCATTAGATTGTATGAGCTTCTCACGGACGGTTAATTAGGGAATTACATCGTTTATTAGCCAAGACCAGCTTGGCAACCAACGACATATTTACGCTGGCTACTGGGCCAGCAGCAGGGATTCCCCACCCGCCAGGCTCTTCCGCAGGATGTTCCGGGCAGCGTTCAGGTCGGCGTCCAGGGAGAAGCTACAAGCTATACAAAGGAACATCTTCGCCTGCCTGCTGGCCGAGTTAACCGTCCCACAGGAATTACACGTTTGGGATGTATGCCTGGGGTCAACCTCAACGAACCGCCTACCGGCCCATTCTGCCTTGTAGCGTAGTTGCTGGTGTATCAATCCCCAAGTCTGCTCCAGTATCTCTCTGTTCAATCCCGACTTGGCCGACACGTTCCGCCCAGGAGTCTCAAGGGTCCCTGCTGCCGAACGGGTCATGTTCTTGACCTGTAGCGATTCCACGGCGATATGCCCGTACTGACGCACAATCTCGGTGGTGGCACGGTGGCACTCATTCCGGTTCCGGACACGGCGACGGGCCTGGGCGTTGGCCAGAACCGCTGCACGTTGCTTCCAGCGGCGACTCCCCTTCCGGCATCGTGAGAGCCGCTGCTGCTTCTTCACAATGTCCAGCCTGTCCTGGTGAACACGCCGTCTGACGGTGTAGTCCGCCACGTCCGGGGGAACCCCTTGCCCCTCGATAGAGAGTAGTGGTTGCCCGGATGTGGGGCTTTCTGCCGGCTCAAGCCCGGCGGCAGGATACGGCTCAAGAGCCGATCCATCCCCGTCCGCCGTCATTGATTGACCGGAGGACAGGGCCAACCGGTCGATAATGCCCTTATCAATACCTATGCAAGCCGGGTTGTACGGCAAAGGCTCGCGGTCCACCTCGTAGCCCAGGCTCACCGTTACCCGCCGACCTACCCTGGTGATCCGGAGTGTCTTGAGGTCCACCGAGGACGGCAATTCCCGCTTGCTGGGAATCCGGATGACTGGAAGGCCCTTGATCCTCACCTCTCCATTCCTGACCATCCCGGGACGCACCATGGCCATTTCGATGGTCTTCCATCGGCGTCCGGACTTGAAGCGCGGGTAGCCGGCCTTCTCACCAGCCTTGACTCGCCTGAAGAAAGCATTCTTGGCCCGTTCAAGCCGCTGCAAGACGCCCCTTCCGACGTTCACATCGAGGCTGGACCAAGACTCATCATCGGCACGAACCAAGGTGAATTCCTTTAGCTGGTCATAATACGTGGGAGGGTTGGCGTCTTTACGTTTTACCCTAAGTTCGTTATAAAGATAATCAGAACCGTCTTTACGCAACTTCCGTTTACCAGTCATAGGGTCAAGGGCATGAACGTACCCGGCATGGACTGAGTAGGAGTCCCGCCATTCCTGCAGGGCCGCGTTGTAGAGCCTGGCACAACGGGCCAGAACCCCGTCCAACTCTTCGTAACCGGCTTTCGCCAGATACCCCCGGAGTTGGTACATTGTATGTATTCTTGGCATACTCTCATCGTACATAACTAATGAAGAGCAGGGCAAGCGTCGATCGTCAGTACCTGGCTAACAAACGATATAATTCCCGTTAATTACCCTGATGTTTCCGGCGTACTGCCCACGCGGTACTTGCCAACTCCGCACACGGCACAGACGGCTTTGGTCGCCGGTCTCCCATTCTTCATGGTGACCGCCTCCACGTTTTTCGAAGCTGTCCTCTCCTTACATTTCAGGCAGAATATTTCCACACCCGCAGCCACAGTCTTCCTTTTCCAAGGTGTCATTTGCTTCAGAAGCCCTTTCATCGCCATTTCCAACTCCTCGCCGCATTTCCTGATTTAGCTAAGGTGGGCCCCATAGAATGATACCAGCAGAGATTAATGCCAATTATAATCAGCGGTCTTAAACCATTACAAACTTGCCAAGGTTCAACTGGACAGGCAGATACTCTCAAGAGGTGGCATGAAACCACGTAAACTAAACTAATACCAAGGTCAGATGCGCATATCGGGGAAGCCGTTCAGCAGCACAGGACCACTTACCAAGTACAGTGGAAGAGCCTCACCGTGGCGCCTGAGCCAATCTCCAGCGCCCGAAAAATGTAGATTCCACTTTGGCTTTAGTTTAGTATTCAGCATTGTTATGCCCGAAATCGGGCCGTGAAGAGGGGAGTAACTGGATGGGCACCGGTCAGGTAGGATGGTGGCAAGGCGTGCTGCCCAGGTGAATACCGACTTGACAGTGGTGCGAGTTGCCCGTTAGTCAGCATGGTCTGGGCGTCCTACGGCTGCATCATTGGTGATACTTTTGTTTAGGGAATTACATCGTTTATTAGCCAAGACCAGCTTGGCAACCAACGACATATTTACGCTGGCTACTGGGCCAGCAGCAGGGATTCCCCACCCGCCAGGCTCTTCCGCAGGATGTTCCGGGCAGCGTTCAGGTCGGCGTCCAGGGAGAAGCTACAAGCTATACAAAGGAACATCTTCGCCTGCCTGCTGGCCGAGTTAACCGTCCCACAGGAATTACACGTTTGGGATGTATGCCTGGGGTCAACCTCAACGAACCGCCTACCGGCCCATTCTGCCTTGTAGCGTAGTTGCTGGTGTATCAATCCCCAAGTCTGCTCCAGTATCTCTCTGTTCAATCCCGACTTGGCCGACACGTTCCGCCCAGGAGTCTCAAGGGTCCCTGCTGCCGAACGGGTCATGTTCTTGACCTGTAGCGATTCCACGGCGATATGCCCGTACTGACGCACAATCTCGGTGGTGGCACGGTGGCACTCATTCCGGTTCCGGACACGGCGACGGGCCTGGGCGTTGGCCAGAACCGCTGCACGTTGCTTCCAGCGGCGACTCCCCTTCCGGCATCGTGAGAGCCGCTGCTGCTTCTTCACAATGTCCAGCCTGTCCTGGTGAACACGCCGTCTGACGGTGTAGTCCGCCACGTCCGGGGGAACCCCTTGCCCCTCGATAGAGAGTAGTGGTTGCCCGGATGTGGGGATTTCTGCCGGCTCAAGCCCGGCGGCAGGATACGGCTCAAGAGCCGATCCATCCCCGTCCGCCGTCATTGATTGACCGGAGGACAGGGCCAACCGGTCGATAATGCCCTTATCAATACCTATGCAAGCCGGGTTGTACGGCAAAGGCTCGCGGTCCACCTCGTAGCCCAGGCTCACCGTTACACGCCTGCCTGCCCTGGTGACCCGGAGTGTCTTGAGGTCCACCGAGGGCGGCAATTCCCGCTTGCTGGGAATCCTGATGACTGGAAGGCCCTTGATCCTCACCTCTCCATTCCTGACCATCCCGGGACGCACCATGGCCATTTCGATGGTCTTCCATCGGCGTCCGGACTTGAAGCGCGGGTAGCCGGCCTTCTCACCAGCCTTGACTCGCCTGAAGAAAGCATTCTTGGCCCGTTCAAGCCGCTGCAAGACGCCCCTTCCGACGTTCACATCGAGGCTGGACCAAGACTCATCATCGGCACGAACCAAGGTGAATTCCTTTAGCTGGTCATAATACGTGGGAGGGTTGTCGTCTTTACGTTTTACCCTAAGTTCGTTATAAAGATAATCAGAACCGTCTTTACGCAACTTCCGTTTACCAGTCATAGGGTCAAGGGCATGAACGTACCCGGCATGGACTGAGTAGGAGTCCCGCCATTCCTGCAGGGCCGCGTTGTAGAGCCTGGCACAACGGGCCAGAACCCCGTCCAACTCTTCGTAACCGGCTTTCGCCAGATACCCCCGGAGTTGGTACATTGTATGTATTCTTGGCATACTCTCATCGTACATAACTAATGAAGAGCAGGGCAAGCGTCGATCGTCAGTACCTGGCTAACAAACGATATAATTCCCATCTGGAACATCTGTTTACTCCTGTTCCGGCTGCTCCAGGTGGATGTGGGTGACACCGACCTGTCCGCCCAATTCGCGGGCCTCGTCGGTGATTGCAGCTCCGATGGTAAATGCTGATACGGCAAGTCCCTGGGCCCGGGCCAATATGGTTGCCCTTCGCCTGGCCCTTTCGGTGTCGTGGGTGTCAACTCTGATGGATACCTCTGCGGCTATCAGCGTGGTCTCGCTGCTCCGGTGGCTGACGGTGAAGACCAGGTCCAGGGCTGCTCAGGTCGTCGGCCTCGTCCTGGGTTATGCGGCCTTGCAGCATCGCGTTGGTTGCGAGTTCGCCCAGCCAGAGGAGGTTGTGCCGTCGGTCCTGGTAGGTGAGGGTGATGCTGGCGATGGTGTCGGCCAGGTTCATCCGTCTTGGCGCGTAGCGGGCGGCAAAGCTCTCGTAGTCGTCTCCGGTCAGGTTGCTGACCCGTCCTCCCACGGTGCTCAGCTCCGTTTTCACGTCTCCCAGCTGGGCTTCCAGGCTGGCCAGCCGCCGGTCGATCTCCTTAAGCGAGGCCGGCACCGTGCCCAAGTCGTCGGAGATCAGAACTCCTCGCAGGGTGTCCAGCCACTCGGGGTTTTCCCGCAGTACCCTTACCAGGTCCGCGATGTCGTTGATGGTCGTCATTCTTTCAGGGTACTCCAAAGTTGTCTTCAATCACCAGCAGTCCCCCGCCCCGCGCCTGCACCATGGCATCCACCATGCCCACACCGAACCTTGCCAGCCGGTCCCGATGCTCAACCAATATGGTCCCCACCCTGGGATCCGACAGCAGCCGGCGCAGCTTGGGACGCCGGTCGTCCAAGCCGCTGGCAACTTCGGATACCACTCGATCCAGCGCAATCCCATTCTGTCCGGCATAGGCCCACAGACGGTTGGCCTGCGGGTACTCCATGTTGCGCTACGGCCAGGAGTACGTGGACGCCGGCGCGGAATACTATGAGCACCAGTATCAGCAGCGGGCCTTGCACACCGCCCGGCGTCGGGCGGCACAACTGGGCTACCAGTTGGTGCCGATATCCGATGTCCAGATTTCAGACGTGCCTCACCGAGCAGGGCTGGTGACGGCGTCACCGTTTTAGTTAGTCCATAGCGGTTCCGAACCGGGTTATCTATGAGCCAAAAAAGCTCAATTCGGGCGTAGGAATTGTAAATGTTGCCCGGGCGCCAAAAGACGTGCTAGTATTCTATCATCCTGTTTGGTTCCGGTTAAATACGGAGGAGAGAGTGCCAATGCAGGCAACAGAAAAACACTATCACGGATGGATCCTGCGCATCGACAGCAACCAGGTGGTCTTTGAACCGATGCCAGGGGAATACACCAGCGACTTAAAGTGTCGGCGGCACGCCATTAAAGAGGCCGGGGGAGAGGCTTCCAAGGTGGTGGTGTTAATGTGCCGGGACGAGGAAGCCTGCCCGAGCAGGTTCGAGGTTACAGCGTTGGCAAGCTGATAGCAAAAATGTAGGCGACCGACTTGGCAGGTCAGTCGCCTTCGTTGGTGTCCCCCCTCCGAGCGCCAAACTCATAGCAGAGGAACATTGCCCATGGCTAAAGAATACCATCCGGCCCCAGCTGAGACAATCCCCAGTCGAAGCGAAAATCAGCCTGTAATTGGCCATGCGCCCCCTCAGGACCACTACTCCACAACCTCCGGCGAATGGGACGGCCAGCTACCGCACGCGGAGCTGGTTCACGACGCCACGCCCGACTATTCAGGTTATCCGGGACCGGTGGACAGGCGCAAATGGGCCACCGGCATAGGAATTGCATTCGGACTGTCCGGCACGGAACGCTCCATTCTGCAGTCCTACGCCCACGACGCCGGCACCCCCCAGGGATGCTGGAAATCAGCAGCTCACCATGGCCTACGAGCTGGGCCACCACGAAAAGTCCATACGAGACGCCCGGGACAAGTTCCTGGAGCTCGGCATTCTGCAGGACGCAGGCCGTCGCAACCGAGCCAGAAGGCTAACCCTCAACTTTGACGTAACCGGGCCTGACACCCGGTTACAACCGGACAGTGCCGAGAGCAAACCGGGTGTCACACCCGGTTACAATGACGTAACCGGTGATGTAACCGGGTCTGACGCCCGGATTGACAGAAACGTAACCGGGCCTGACACCCGGTTACAGCCGGACACTGCCGAGAGCAATCCGGGTCTGACACCCGGTTACAATAACGTAACCGGGCCTGAGGCCCGGATTAATCCGGGCCTGACACCCGGTAAAGTAGAATTAAGTATAAATAGCGAGAGAGATAATAATAAATCTCTCTCTTTCCCTTCTACTTCCAATTCCGGTTCACCGGGCCTGACACCCGGTTTCCGCGCCCGAAGCCCAACTCACGACGAAGATCCAATTGAAGCCTTGGTGAACGAGAACTGGACACTGCTTCAAGAAGCCGGTTGGGGTTTCCTGGGCGGCGCCATAAAGCACTACAAGAGATACGGGTTAGATTACCTGCGGAACGACCTCGATCAAAAGCGAAAAGAGCTGGAGAGGGCCAGCCTGGTAGCCAGGACCTGTGTGCATTGCCGTACAGTCCACGACAGCACCGACCAGGTTAAACCCTGTGTACGTTGCGATGACCCGATCTGCGTTTCCGAGGTGAGCAGCTGCCGCCAACACACCTGCTTCAGGAAGCAGGGAGCAGCGCAAGGCAGAAGCCACCGGGTCGTGATGACATGTTGGCCACAACCCGAGCCGAGCTTTCATGGAGGTCAACGTCGTGACAGCACAGGAAACATTTTTGGCAGAGGTGTCGGACCTTGTCCAAACCGAGCTCACCAAGTACCTGTCCGACGACTTCCCAATCGCAATGGTAACGTCAGAATATCTGCCTGGCCCGGATGACGAAGACTACCTCAGAACAACCGTGTTCTTCGAAGACAGGCACCCGGAACTCGACCAACGCGCCTTGCCAGACGGAAAACTGGCGCTGGAGAGAGTGTTGCAATTTTCTGACTATTGAGTCCAGGTTACTCCGCAGACGTGCCATGAGCATAGCCGTCGGCAAGCAACCCTTGAGCAACGCCAAATCACCCATGCACCAGTAGCCCGAACCACCAATACAGCCAATATTCTTTGCACCAATATTCCTCTACAACAGGCCACCATTGCAACAGGCCACCATTGCAACTGACCACCACTTGCAACTGACCACCACTGCACCATCACCCCATTGCTCCGTTGATAGCAAAAACAGGAAACACTGCCCCGCGTATGTGAGCTATCCCCGGCGCTCGTCCGAGGAGTGCCCGTTGTCCCGCGTCAATCAATTGTTCCGGTTCACCTGCTTGGCCTGGCCCTGTTGCTGGGCCGCATCGGTGCGGTAGCTGGGGACGTCGAACTCGAGGATGACGGAGTGATGGACCACCCAGTCGATTGCTGCGGCGGTGGCCATGGGGGTTGGCAAAGATGCGCTTCCACTAGGCGGTGGCCCAGGGCGCACAGGGCATGGGTCTTGCCGGTGCCGGGCAGTCCGAAGGCCAGGACGTTGACGCCGTGTTCCACGAAGCTCCCCTGGGCCAGATGGTCCAGTTGCTGGCGCAGGTACAGGGGCATCCGGTCGTGCTCGAAGGTTTCCCAGGTCTTGCCCGAGGGGAGTTTGGACGCCTGCTGCAGCCGATTGATGCGTCGGTAGCGACGATCATCGGCTTCCTGTTCCGGCACCTCCAGGAAGGTGTGCAGGGCATCGCCGTGACCAGCCTCAGTGAAACGGGCCACCGACTGGGCGCCCATGGTGGGCAGCTTGAATTGGTGGCACAGTTGGCCGATACGCTCCTGCATGACGCTGGTGTCGACGACCGTCATGCGCACACCCCCGCCGTGGCCAGGCTGACCGTGAGCAGGCGGTCGTATATCTTCAGTCCGGCTGGCCGGACAGGGTCGAGAAGCGGGCTTCGGGCACCTTGGGCTCGGCCAATCCCGCACCTGTGCGTAGTCGAAGGGCTGTCTTCCCGCTTCCAGCAGCGACGACAGGTGGCGCTGTCCACGTCGCTTCCATGGTGGTCCGCCGCAGGTGGTCCGGATGCCGCACGTACTCCACGTCTGGCCGTGCCCGCTCCCGCGCCACTGGCCCTCAGAGCACGTCGTAGGTCAGCCGGAGTCGCATAGGTGGGGAGGACAGCGGCTCGCGGAAGTCGGTAGCGAGCGGAGGCGAAGGCTCCGGTTTGCGTGCACCAGGGAGCCGATGACGTGGTCGTACTTGACGTTGGCGTCCCCTCGCCATGCGCATTGCTTCACAATAAATCTAGCTTTAAGGAAAGTATTGCTTCACCTACAATGTTCCGAAAAAAAGGGTGAGGTCAACCCCATGGTGGGTAGAGGCATCAGCAGGATGGCAGGAAAGAGTTGTTGGGGCACTCATCGGTACGGCGTGAGTTAGCCGTATCACTGCCACCAGGAAGGATAAGGGGGCCGGATCCTGGAACAAGTTCACCTTCGGTGACACCTTTCCCATCTCGGCAAGTCAACCCATCTCGGTTATTGTACCCAAGTCAATGACCAAATGGAACACCCGCCTTCACTTTCGGGGAGAAGCATCTACATAGGCCGTTTCTGCCGAGGGCGGTGATAGTGGTGTGGGAGGGTTCGATCGCGCATTGCGGCAAGCGCCTGCATGCGGTGGCGCTGTCCCCACTTGGTGTGGAGTCCATTAATAATGAGGGAGCGGCCACGGTCCCTGCGCAGTTGGACTCCCTGTTCATGTGGACGGCTGCTCACCCGTCCATGCTGGCATCCCCCGCTTGCCCTCTTCTGAAATGCCCGTCTTTCCACTTCCGGCCTCCTTCGTCGTAGTTGGCCGTCGCAAGCCCATGGGACACCGGGTTCCGGTACGGACCTACAACGAACTGGAACAAGCCCCCCACCGGGCTAAGCCTGTATATCGACCTGGTGTTGCCCACGTGCGCGGTCCATTGGTCGGGTTCCTTCATACCACATGCCTGGCGGTGACCGATGTCTCACTCGGCTGGACCGAGGCCGTCCCCCTGCTGGCCAGAGACCTGCCCTGGTTATCACATTTCACACCTTTTCCTTGGCTTTCCTGTAAGCCTCCCCCCATTAACCCGCTTACTCCTTTCACAGCCCTCGTTCTTATGGCATTTGACTCCGACAACGACTGGCGCCTTCATCAACGAGACCCTGTTGGAGTGGACGTCTCCCTGCAGGGGATCGAATTCACCCGTTTCCTTCGGGCTTGACCGGCAGGCAATGACCAGCCTATATCGAGGCAAAATAATGGGGCCGTCGTGCGCCGGTTCGTGGGACACCACTCGCTACTGCTCGGCCCCCTGGCCTGCCAGATGCTGGTCGCGCTTTAACCAAATTGCGCTCTAGCGTGGAATTACGTTCCATCCCTCCTTCAAGCTGCTGGAAAAGAGCAGGGGAGGGCTAGCCAACGTTCCAGCGGTACAAGCCCACCAGCCACTCCCTGTGACGCCGGCTGTTGCAGCACCAGCTGCGTTGACTCGATGAAACTAAAGACAACTGACCCATCACCGCCAGGTACTGGCGTCCTTCTTGCCCCTGTCTTCCGGAGGGGAGATGCACCTCCTGCATTCCATCCGCGAAGCACAAGCCGCTCTGTTGGCCCTTTCTTCCACCCTATCACGGTGAGCCATCC